CATCGCTTGTTCAAAGTCCTCTCTCAATAATTGCCACAAGAACTGCAATGTTGCAAATCCCAACTACTCAAGAATCTCATAATTTACGAAAGTACGAGATTTATTCAATATTTATTAACTTCTTGATTAGATTCTTCACAAAAATTTATATTTATATAAATTTATTTATTGATATTATGTAGTGTATAAATAATTCTTTATTTTCATTATGTTAATTATGTTTATTATGTTTATTATACAGATCAAAAGCAGTGAGTTGTGTGTGGAATTTTTTTAAAAAAGTGGACAATTCAATGGCTCATTGTAATCTCTGTAAAAAGAAATATAAGCACGGGGGCAATACTACAAACTTACGGCAACATCTGATACGGAAGCATCCGATCTTTTACACAAGTGACGGGTCAATAAATCGAGAGAAACCACAAACAGGTTCAGAGTCCAGCAATGACATCAATGACAACAATGACATCAATGACATCGATGACAGCAATGAAATCGATGACCCCTCTTACTCTGATGCAAGTTCGTCCTCTATTGTTAACAATAAGCGTCGGAAACTTGAATCTAACTGTAAGGTATGTTGTCAAAATATATATTTATCAAAATATATATTCAAAATATTTGTATCATCAGAAATTATATATGTCATTACAAATGTGTAAATTACAGGTGAAGCCCCACCGTAATGTACGAATTGATACAGCATTTCAGAGAACGAGTTCTTTTGCAAGTTAGTATATATATTTTTTATTTTACTTCAGCTTACAGCCAAGAAGTGGACTTGGTTTACAATATGTTCTTAACTCATTCACTCCTGCATACTTATTCTATTCCTCCCTATTTCTTCTTTACGTATCGTGACTAGTTTATATTGCTTATTTATTATTTACATTTCTTTTCCTCCTTCCTCCTGTACTCTCCTCTTTTTCTTTTTCTTTTTTTAAACTTCTCAACCTGCATTCTCTTTCTATCCATATCTTCCTAATAGTGTTCCCTTTTTCCTTTTTAATTCGTCGCTTCATATCTTATCCCTTATTTCTTTATTGCTTTTCCCTAATTTCTTGAACCAGTGTGATGTCATACTACATTCCTTTATATAATGCTCAAGACTATCCCATCCCGTATTACAAAAACACAGGTTCTTTCTTTTTCTTCTAGCTAGTATTTAGCCTATCTTCATTCCTTCCTCTGTTTTCTTTTCCTTAACCCATTTATATATCCTTTCCTGTATTTTCCTTTCCTCCCATGATAGATCTCTTTTTATGTATACATTCCCCCCTTTTATTTTGTTTTTGTTTTTCATCACTTTTATTCTGTTTTCCTCAATATCTAATCTTGCTATTATTACTTTTCCGCTTTTCCTAATATTCAGTACTTTACAGTCTATCTCTAGTTTTCTTTTATTAAATTCTCTACCTTTTCTTTTAATTCCATATTATTTTTCACATTGTCCTTTCCATGTATTGCTATATTATTCTCCTTTCTTCTTTTTCTTTTTCTGATACCCATTTCTTTAACTTTCCTATCTCTCTATCGCTAAACCTCCCTTCACTCATCATCGATCCTTCAAATTTACTTCTATAACTACTTCTACTTCTGCTTCTCCCTCCTCTGCTATGATTACTACTTTCACTTTCTCTCTCATTATTGCTTCCTTCTGTCACGCTATCCATCACATTTTCTTCCCACCTCTTCCATTCTCTAATCATCCTATTTAGATCCCTCATTTTTTCCTCTACTTCTCAGTTTTTCTTCGAATCTACTTTTCGTCTTTATACATTCTTCTATATATCACATTTCCTTTTAACCTCTTACTTCTTTCATGGTAAATGTTCACTTTAGGGGAGTCAGCTCCGATGACCTTGACCATGACATATGTTGTCAAGGTTACCCTCCTGAGTAACGCTCAGAAGGTTTTAGCCGTCGCTCGTTGTTTGTTAAAAAGTTATTAAAAAAACAATGTCAACCAATTTTATGTAATTTTCAGACACAAATATTAAAAATTTTGAAAAATGTTTTAAACAAAAGTTGTAGATCTCTTTGAAATATGCATTTTACGTCCTATTTATTTTTACTGTACGAATGATAGTTTTCGAGAAAAATGATGGACTTAAACACGTAAGTTGCAAGCGCGTTTAGCACGGCGCGCTGCGCGCGCCCCACCCCCTCCCGCCCCCGCCCTGCCCCCTCTCCCCCTCCCCGCCCCCGCCCCAGTTAAAATATAACCCTACCCACACTACTCGTATGTCCGAGGTTTGGAGTGGATCTCGCCTCACGTGGAATGATTAAGATGTTACGGAGAGAAATTATAACAATTACTATAATAATTATAATTATTCATTTATCTCTAATATCTGTCCTCTCATCTAAGCATGTGCTTTGTAGTACATATA